TGGATGGATGGATGGATGGATGGATGGATGGATGGATGGATGGATGGATGGATAATGATAATGTCTGTATTGGAGATGATTTGTATTTTGACCATAAGACATCAATCCACATTTGCACCTCGCATGATCTATCTTCTGGACTCAGGAAATCCATATGTTGAATGAAAACTATTGAAAATGTATGATGAGAGGAAAGGGAAGGGAGAAGTGATAAAATTATATTATAATCTCAAAGGTAAAAAAGTATTTAGAAAGAAAGTGTATAATGAGAAGAAAGGGAGAGGAAAATTTTGCAATTTTAATCTCAAAATTAAAGAAATGATTTTTTAAAATTTAAAAGAAAATATATAATGAATGATCATGTTTGCTAAGAAAAAACCGTAAATGAATAGAATAGTGCTCCAGAATCATGTAGAATTCTTATTTTCTCCATCTGGATTTGCTTATTCAATTCCTACTAGACTGCAGACTGGTGAAGTCCTGATCTATTTGTACTTACTCGTCACAAAGCAATATGTTTATGTGCATGCAAATATTATTGAGACATTGCTATATGTAAATATAGGAACATTCCAACGTGTAAACAATCTTCCAGGCATTGTGCCATGGACAACAGTTTTGGAAGTCAGAGCACACTGAGGAAGGCAGGCAGAGGCTCCAGAATCAGGAAGCCCTAGGTGAACTCCAGCTGTCCTATTTACCAGCTGTGCTTCTGTGAAGCAGCTACTGGGCTCTTCTGAGCTCAGCTTCCTCACTGATTTAAGACGGTAATATAGTGGGCACAAAGGAACAACTGCAGATGTGTATTCAGTCAGCATATTTAGTTACAAAATTTTCAACACTTACTTTTATAAATTGTAGTGGTGGGAGCGGCGGGCTGCAGCCCGGCTCCCAGTTAGCTTTACCCAAAATAATTACATGGAAACTGTATTCATTTTAAACACTACCTGGCCCATTATCTGTAGCCTCTTATTGGCTAACTCTCGTATCATGTCTTCAACCCATTTCTAATAATCTGTATCTCACCACGAGCTCATGGCTTACCCGGAAAGATTCAGCATGTCTGACCTGGCAGCTTCATGGTGGCGACTCATTGCCTTCTTCCCAGCATTCTGCTCTGTCTACTCCACCCACCTATGTTCTGACCTACCAGGCCAAGCAGTTTCTTTATTAACCAATGAGAGTAACACATAGACAGATGACCCTCCTCCATCAATAAATGACTCCCTACATTAAAAAAAAAAAAAGGTCCAAAGATATCATATCTGGAGCTGCATGTTCCATGTGAGCTTTATAATATATGACATAGTAACATATGCATTCTTCTTATTATTGCAGTTCAGAGTTACAACAAAATGGCGTGTATCTTTATATATGACACAGGGAATTTTTCAAGGCAAATTTTAGCAATGTAGAAATTGAATGAAGCAATTCAAATGGACAAAATAAGAAATCTAGACTTGATTGTTTTTAGTACATAATTTTTAAATTTTATGTACATGAGTGTTTCACCTGCACGGATGTCTGGCCCTTGAACCATGTATGTGCCTGATGCACACAGGCTAGGAGAGGACACAGGATCCCCTGGAACTGCAGTTAAGACAGTTGTGAGCCACCATCTGAACAGTGGGAAAGGTGTCCAGGTCCTCTGGAAAGCTCTCTTCAGTCCGCAGATATTTCTTATTGTGTATGTTAACTCTGAGCTCTGATCCTACATCTTCTGTAACTCCTTTAACAGGAATTGGGATAACATGTGTAGATGTGTCATGCACACACTACCTTCTCAGAGTCAGTCTTCTCTCTCTGATACATTAAAAGTTAAGAAACCAATTTATCGGGGGCTGGAGAGATGACTCACTGGTTAAGAGCATTGCCTGCTCTTCCAAAGGTCCTGAGTTCAATTCCCGGCAACTACATGGTGGCTCACAACCATCTGTAATGAGGTCTGGTGCCCTCTTCTGGCCGGCAGACATACACACAGACAGAATATTGTATACATAATAAATAAATAATAAATAAATAGATAAATAGAAACCAACTTATCAACAAATGCTGTCATAATATTTGGTCTGTGTGGTTATTTGAATGTAATTGGCCCCCATAATCTCATAAAGAAGTGGCATTATTAGGAGGCATGGCTTCGCTGAAGTAGGTGTGACCTTGTTGGAGGAAGTGTGTCACTATGGGGGCGGGCCTTGAGGTCTCTTCTGCTCAAGCTTTGCTTGGTGTGACCCTCAGACCACTTTCTGTTGCCTGCAAAATGTAGGACTATCAACTATTTTCCCAGCACCAGGTCTGCCTGCATGCCACCATGCTTGCCACCATGATGACAATGGACTGAACCTCTGAACTGTAAGTGAGCCACCTCAATTAAATGTTTTCCGAGTTGCCATGGTCATAGTGTCTCTTCACAGCCACAGAAGCCCTAATTAAGACAGTCTGTTCCCATCTTATTCCTTATTACTTGTTCCTTTGGTTTTGTTTTATTTATTTGTCTGCCTATTGTTTTGATTTTAACTGAATGATACTTTATACCCAGGAGCACATGTATATACCACAAAGCATTGTCTGTTGAGATGACCAGGGAAACTATGGAAAAGTAAAATATCTTTTGCGGTCCTTGTTAAATGTGCCCTGTAAGTTAGTCAGATATCTAGGTCACCATATTACCTGTTTCTGTGTGCAAATGCCCTGTTCATGGAACTCTCCTGTGGGAACTGTGTGCCATGGTGGGACTCTCCTGTGGGGACCGTGTGCCACAGTGGGGTTCTCCTGTGGAAGCTGTGTGCCACGGTGGGGCTGTCCTGTGGGCACCATGTGTCACGGTGGGACTCTCCTGTGGGAACCATGTGCCACGGTGGAACTCTCCTGTGGGAACCGTGTGCCACGGTGTGTGCTCTTCTGTGGGGACCGTGTGCCACGGTGGGACTCTCCTGTGGGGACCGTGTGCCACAGTGGGGCTCTCCTGTGGGGACCGTGTGCCAC